CCCATTAAGCCTGTGCCACCAATTTATTAGATTTTGGCAGAACGTTTAATCCCAATGCCCTGATATTTCACCATAACTCTCAACAATCTCTACTATTCGAGTATCTTTCTACTTCCACAAATTTTTGCATTTCTGGGTGATTTTATATTTTAAGCAAAATGGGCTGACCAGCTAAGACGAGGTGGAATTTTGGAACTTAGAGCAAATATTTAGGAACTTAACTGCATCAATACATTTCCCACCTGGTATCCAGCTTTGTGTCCTCTCTGAGTGAGATCGCCAGCATTAATATCTATATTAGTAATTAATTAGGGTTAGCTTTGTGCTGTGTAACCACAAGTTTCCTTACTCCACACGCTTGTTAACCTAGCAGTAAGTAGGAACCCGGTTGTTCATTCATTGGCAGATCGCTTTTCTGAGGGTAATAATTCCTTCAAAGAAATAAATCAATAAAATAATTTGATCACTCAATCCACAGCTGTTTGTGGGACACTGCTGTGTGCAATTGGCTGCCACATTTCACCCACAAAATAGATAGTCAATTAAATTTACAGTATATTCTGTGAAGTGCTTTGAGACGTCTCGAACACTTGATAAGGCGCAATATCCAATGGAAGGATTGTTATCCATACAGTACAATCTCATACTACCTTCCCATTCCAACCTACCCTTCCTTGCTAAAGTCCTGGTCACACCTCTCCCTCCACGAGCCTCTCCAGTCTGGTTTTCACTCCACCCACAGCACAGGGACAGCGCTTGTCAAAGTTCACATGGATCTCTCTGGCGCGTTCTACACACTTGACTACGCCATCCTCCGCCACCGTCTCTCCTCCCTCATCTACCTTAGTGGGACTGCACTCGCATGGTTCAAGTCCTACTTAACCAACTGCCTCCACTTCATCTCTGCAAATGGTTTCTCCTCCCTCCCTCGCCCGGTCACCTGTGAGGGGCCCCAGGGCTCCATCCTTGGCCCTCTTCGTTTCCTCATCTATATGCTCCCTCTTGGCAATATCATCCGCAGACAAGGGGTAAACTTCCACACATATGCGGATGGCAAACAAATCTACAAACAAATCTACTTTGCCTCCTTCAGCATAGACTCCAGGTACCCCGAAGTTCTATCAGCTTGTCTGGCTGACATCAGGGCCTGGATGAGTATAAACTTTTTGAATGTGGACAAGACAGAAGCCTGTGGAGCTGATAACAAATCATCCACCCATTACTCAAACGCACTCCTCGCCGGTCTCCCCAGCTCCACCGTTCAAAAGATCCAGCTCATCCAGAACTCTGCTGCCTGCACACTGACCCAGACCAAACTACGTACCCACATCTCACTAATTCTGGCCAGGCTCCACTGGCTCCCTACCACCGAACAGATCGACTTCCAGATCCTCACACTCATGTTCAAATCCTTTCACTCCATCGCACCTCCCTACATCTCCAACTTCCTCACTCCCCAATCCACCACCCAGCGCCTCTGCTCAACTGGTACCGGCCTCCTGCTCGTCCCTCGCACTGGAGATCACGCTTTCAGTCACTACGCCCTGAAGCTATGGAACACTCTCCCTCAATCCCTCCGCCTTACCTCCTCTCTCCCCTTTTTCAAGTCCCGCCTGAAAACCTTCCTTTACAACCATGTTTAGGGTTACCTCCTCAGCCCAACACCCCCCACTCCCGGCTCAGCGTCAGACTCCGCCACTGTTAAGGGCTCTGAGATGTTACCCTGTGTGGAGGGAGCTATATAAATGCAAGTTGTTGTTGTCAGTGCCTTGAGCTGTCCTCCCGATTTGAAAGGAGCTACATAAATGTAAATCTATATTGAAACTACACCAAAACTCATTTTACATTGCACCTTTACATGCATCAGAGAGAGGAGAGCCTGGTCTAGATCTAGATTCAAGCTCAGGTTCGAGAGTTGAAAGCTCATTCAGTTTACTGACCTACTGCGTCAGCACACGAGACTCCAAATACTTACATTTCAAACAACTGCAAGTTCTCCCTAATTCAGTATAATACCTCTAAACTATGTTTTTTTTTGGACTGCATACCTAACTCATTTTTCGAAGCACTTGAAAGGAGAACATACCTGCAAGAGGAAGTACTTACAAAGTCACTGAGAGGCGATGATAGATTTATTAGCAATCATAAATACTGTAATTACAAAAAAATTCAATTCTTCTGCTGACGCTTAAAATAACAGTTTGAAAGGCTGTCAGTGTGGAGTATTTAGTGCCAAGAGCTTTCACTTTGAGGAGCTTCTTTGCTTTCCTGACAATTCACTGAACTAATAAAGAGTCCTGTAGCTCAGTGGTTAGAGCACTCGCCTCACAAGCGAGAGACATGGGTTCGATTCCTGGCAGGGTGAAATCTTGGGCAAGTTTCCTTACTCCACTCGCTTGATAATAATCCTTCAAGAAAAAAAACAATAAATTGTTCATTTCAATCCACGACTGTTTGTGGGACACTGCTGTGCGCAATTGGCTGCCGCGTTTCACCCACAAAAACAGTCAATTCACTTTACAGTATATTCTGTAAAGCGCTTTGAGACGTCTAGAAGACATGAAAAGCACTCTATCAAATGCAAGGATTATTATAATCACGTCGAAAGGACCTTATCACACCCTATCACTTTGGAAGGACGCCTGAAAGTACTTCACTGGATTTACTGTGAAATTGAATGACTGTGGGTAATAAGGTTGTGGCAAACACAGTAGCACAATTGCACCCAGCATTGTTTAACAAACAGCGACAGAGTGAGTGACCAATTTTATTTGGGGGGTTCTTGCCCAGGCTACCGGAGAATGCATTTCTATTTTCAAATAAAGCCATGGGATCTTTAGCAGGTCAAGTTGGGAATTGAAAAGCTGTTAACATTTTATGGTCTGAGGTACAGATCAGCATAGAGTTTTTTCCAGTATTGCTACGCACAGATTATTTCGAACATGTCAAAAGACTTCAAGTGTTATCCATGGACTGTGGCAAAATACAAAATAGTTTTGTGAATAGAAATATCCACATGGAGCTCTTCTCAAATCCATTTAAATGTATGAGTGCAAACATGTGTGTACATGTGTTTATAATAATAATCTTTGCATTTGATATCGTGTCTTATCACGTCGTTTAGACGTCTCAAAGCGCTTCACAGAATATACTGTAATGTGTATTGACAGTGTATTTTGTGGGTGAAATGCAGCAGCCAATTGCACACAGCAATGTCCCACAAACAATCGTAGTGACCAAATTATTATTATTATTGTTTTTTGAAGGGATTAATACCCTGGAAAGCAATCTGCCAATCGACTAACAAGCGGGTTTCTACTGGTACGTAAACAGAGGCGTGTGGAGTAAGAAAACTTATCTAAGTTTTCACTCCATCCGGGAATCAACCCGGGTCCTTTCGCTTACGAGGTGAGCATGCTAACCACTACTCTCCAGCAATCCAAATATTCCATAGCGTAGTGGACTCAGAATATGGGTGTGCGTATGTACATTTCTGTAGTGTGCATATTTTCTGAATTGAATAGCATAAGTTGAGCAGCGGTAAACTCTTCCCAGTATAAATATCAGTATTTAAATGGACTGTTGTTGGAAATATGCATCATGAGCACATGTCAATAAAAGCTTAGATTTAAAGCTTTCTGGCAGGTGGATGTGTAAACAGCTGGGATGGTGGATAACATGAACGGAGAGTGCAACATGAGGTGTGTGTAGGGGCTGGGGGAGGGGGGGGGGAAGAGAGGGGTTAGGGGGTAGAGGGTTCAAAAATCCAAACATCAAATGGAGTGTTTAGAAAACATTACTATTAAGAGTCCTCTCCTCCTCGAAAAAGCTTCTCGATTATAAGACTGTTATTGCTATTATAATGGCTCAGTCTTACAGAGGGATCAGGACTTTCAGAAGGGCTGCTCAGAGCCGGGTGGGTGAGCTCGAAGGTCTAGTTATGCAAAGCATACGCAGCATGACACTGGGGCCTGGGTACATAAGTGTCAATCAGGAAGGCCAGCACAGTGCTGCCAGCCCACAATTGGGTGAGTGGAGGGCACATTCTCCACAGCTCCAAGGACAAAGAAGAGGTCCTGTGAGTTGTGGACTAGTGCTCCCTACGTGGAGACCAGGTGCTGATGCAGCAGACCAGAGAACCTCATTTGGTGCTTAAAGCTAGCTAGTTGTGTTCAGTTCAATAAAGTTGATTTGTGGCTGGTGTTGGGTGTTTGTTCCTGCCAGCCCTGTGTCCGCTACAATACAATGCTACTAGTGATTGGGTCCCTAGGGTTGGTTGGTATTCTAACAACAAATAAATCAGTAAATCAAAGCAACAAATTCATATTAAACACCTACACACTACAGCAGCGCAAGCACTTGTGGTGTGGAAAATATAAATAACGTAACTTGAAAGTGGCTTTCTAACTCTCGTTGTCACTGTGATCTATTCTACAGATCTCTTCCCAACCATTTTCCTTTCATCTGCCTTGCTCATTGAATCACGTCAAGAATATTTTATTTGCCTTTGGTGTCTCCTAGTTTCTGGATCATTGTTTGATGATTTTGGCCCATTCTTTGCCCCAGTTTGTAGATCTGGTGCAGTCTCTATGTCCGTGTTCTAACTCTGGTCTCTTCAGATAACAAATATAAACGTTTGAATGAAAATAAAGGAAAAATTATTCTGATCATGGAGGCGTGAACATTTCATACCTATGATATAAAAGTGCACATTAAAAATAACATTGATATTGCTTTCTTTGTATCGTAGCAGACCAAGGAGAGAAAAGGTAAGTGGAGGTGAGCCGAGTAATGGGAGGGCATGGGGTCATGGGAATGTGTGAAGCAATTACATTGGTGACAACTGACCTGCCCAGTAACAAAACAACGTGTTGTCACTAATCAGGAAACACCAAGTTCCAATACACAGCCCAGAACACAGCTCCTGGGGTCAACTTTGAACATGCTCTGGAGGCTACTGTTGATTGACAGGGAATAAAACACAGACATTCTTAATACTGCGAGTGGCAATCAGTCTGTAAGACGTCTTTTAATTTATATAAATTACTATAATTTTATTTTCCGACTGGCTTCAATTCTCTAATTACAACAGCAATTTGAAAGGGAAAAAAGTAACTTCCTGCCTTTGGTAAGCATCTTTAAAATTCCTGACTGCAATTTGGTGGCGTAGCTACAAGCCAAAAATTCTTAAAAAAACAATATTGCAAATCAAATTGACAGGACTACTGTATGAGACTCGCCATTTTTCATACCTCTTGATACAATGACATTCTCTCAGGAAGTGTGCTATAGCTGGAGGGGAAAAGCACTACGCCTTGAAGTTGCGGGGCAGGGTGTTAGTTGAACCATTTGAATGGTGCTGTTGCAGATAATGAACATGATTCTGAAAACTGCAATTTGTTATTCATTTTTTTCTTACTCAGCTTCAGTATTCTACCCTCTGCTCCTGAAGACATTGACTTCAGGTCCACAGATACCCACTGATGTCATTTCTCATGTGTGAGCCAAGACAATCAGCTCCTGCAGAGAACTGAGCTGTGAAGGGCACAGCATCACAGCTGAACCTGAGCCTGTTGTCTCACACACTTTCCTGCAGGGGGATAGCAATCAGGAACAGGAACCCTGACTGATTTTCCCCTCCCTAGAGTAGGAGCACTGTAGCCAACTGTCGTACTCCCTGGCTGAGAGCAGCGAGCTCAACCCAGACCGGGGTTTGAACCTGTAACCTTTCCTGTCTGTGGTTCTGTTAAACAATAGACAGTGAACTCACAAAGTGAGCCACCAAGGGCTTGATTTCCATACAGATCTAACACAGGACCCAGGAGGAAATAGTGTACACCACACACAGTGGAAAATTGAACCACTCATTTCCCTTCAGAAACAATGGGAAATCGACCAAAACAGTTAAAGGGTACATGAAGGGAAGCTAGCAGGACCATTAGCTGACCCAGGAGGTGTTTGAAATCTTATGAAGTGAAGAGGAAAATTAAATATAGTTAATTTTAAAATAATGTAAAACTCCTCCAAACTTCCCACCAGTGTATTACACCTGAACATTACAGCTTTTCTAAGTTCACAGTGAGAGCACTAACTTGAACATTGGTCTTCATTATCACACATTTTAAATCTGAGATAGGATTGGACTGACTACATCTTACATCTTGGGGATCAAAAACATAATACTCTCAAACAGTTTTGATCATGAATAGTGACTTCTGCTTTGTGAATACCATTATCGCAAAGATTCGCAGCAAGATTTACAAAAAGGACAAATCACAGACCAGTTCTTTCTCTTGCCAGCAATTTTCAAACTATGGTGGCTTGTGATTTTAACAATTCTTGTGGAAATCCACATTCCATTACTGGCAAATCGCAAGTCACAACTGGTGACTAAAATCCAGTTTGCAGATGTCACATTTGCAATCTCCCTGGTTTAATAGTGTGTTAGAGCGCTGCCACTAATGTGTGTTTGTTATGTGTGTAATTCAACCTCACCCATACAATCCAGTGATGGCACATGGATCAAGATTCTCCTGGTTTAAACAGTTTAGCCAAGAGTGGAAATATGAAGCAAAGGCAAGACATAGGGGATGGACTTCATTGCTGAATGATGTGCTCGCTTACTGAGACACTGGGACATTCCTAGTATATAGACTGCTTTACTGCCTTATCGCCAGCAAGAATCAAATCTGTATGAAACGGAAGGACCAAAGAGGAAGAGAAACATAAACATTTTGTTACAAAAACAATCAGAACACAGTAACAAAAATCCCTCTTCCTTCCGTTATTACATTCCTTCATCTGACAGTGCCAGATACTTACACATTGCAATGGGGTTTTTGGCTTCTTGGCTCAAGATATGCGTCTTAATCTGGAACTGTCATCCTGGTCTTCTCATTAAGACTTCCCAAACTTAGTCACAATTTTGCAACTGTAACCAGAAGGCAGAAGATCCTCACATTGTCTACCCTACAAGTGAGGACTGAGGTGGTCAGTGAGGAGTTTCGAGAGTCCCTTTACCGGGTAACATGCTCTTGCAAACACATCTCTTAGGCATTAAAAGTTACTTGTTAGATTTGCAACTGTTGATCCCTCGATTCACCAGTCACACGTGAAATCCCACTGCTGGAAATTCTTCATTCTCCAGTATAAAGATAATGCAGTATCTGTAGGTGGAATGTACAGGGATGTAGTGCTCAACGAAAACACCGCATTTGAAGTAAGGCTTAAACTAAACATAGAATAATTGACAAGATTAATAAAATCCTTGCACTTGATAAAGTAAAAGAAGATATTAAAGATCGTTGATTTTTAAATGGGATACTGATGATCACACTTGTTCTTTAAGATCGAGACCATTAGTAGGTTCCAATGAAGTTCAGAAGCACTGATTGCTAATACTTGATTTCAAGCGCTGCACAGGTAGTTTTCACTGTTATCAGCAGAGGGCAGTGTGTCCCTTCAGTCAATGTTAACACCATCCAACCTCTCTTATTGGAGTCCGAGTTTGTTGCTGTTATGCAACAAAGAGTTGTCCAGTTAGAGCAGGATTCCTCTCTTTTATTAATGACTCAATAATTGAAGCTCCTCGTTTCACAACTTCTCGAGTCTTCTCTGTGTCCTGTGAAAAGGTGAAGAATATTAACAAGGCATCATGTATTTTTCAGTGTTAGAAAAGACATTCAGCGAATTGCCGCTGATTGTATTTTTTAAAGCTCAAACTACACCTCTCTTTTGTGGTCGTTTTAAACCAGGTCATTCCAATCTTAACCCGAGAAAAGATTTACTTTCTATTTCTAAAAGTGTCACACAAATGAACAATACTTTAGACAGTCTCATATACTTTCAAAACAATGCTGCTGAGATTTGCTAAAACATCCAGTTTTACTTTTGCAGAACATTTTTAATCTTTTAATTGTTTAACATTAGCTACTGCGGAATCAATCTTTTTCATTGTAATAGCAAGTAAAACTATTACAATATCTATAAGGAAGTAGGCCAATGTGTCAAATAATGTGTCAAATAATATTGGGGTATGCATAAAAATATGCAGCTTTTCATAACCAATTTGATGTTGTAATTATCCCTGGGTGATAACTATCTTAATTGGTTTGCTATAAAAGATGATTTAATTATCACAATGATTTTGAAATACTGCATATTTTAGCTCATTACTTCTAGCCATTTGTTTTCTTGAATTTTTTTGGGTTAAGTGGGTAGGTGTTTTCTACGGACATATGTGAGTCACTATCATGCTTAAAGTTTAGAGTATGCGAACCATACTGAGTCCCACATGTGCAAGGAGATATTCCTTTGTTTGGCACAGAGCATGCCATTGCCCATATTTAAATTGCAAATGATTACAGAAAATTATGATTAACGTTAACATCCCTTTGCTGCATTTATGTTAACTTCCTGTTTGAAAGATTTTTCTCTCCTTGTTCTTTTTTCAGGCCTCACCCACTAATTCCCAGTTGAGACACTTCCCGATCTCGTCCCCCATGCTCCCCCTCCAACATCAATGCTGCACGACCCCCACCCAACTTGCACCACTAGCGGAGGTCTAGCTTTCCAATTCTACACCCTAACCTGTAGAATTCCCTCCCTCCTGCCTCAAACATCTACCATTTTGTCCATGCCTCTGGTTAGCTCCTTCTTCCCCTCTTGGCAGCGTCTGTCCTGCCATTATAAAGAATGCAAGTTGCTGTTATTTACATGGATAAGACAGAAGCCATCCTCCTGGGCTTCAGGCAGCGTCTTCTCAGCTGTGCCTCCAACTTCCCTATCACTCAGACTCACCAAAACTGTACATAATCTAGACATTCAGTTCTACATCAAGTCCCTGACCAGGACCACTTTCCTCCAGCTCTGCCAAGTCTCCTGGCTCCGATCATACCTCATTCTCAATGCTTACTAAAAGAAATAAAGGGGACTATATCCAAAAGATGGTGATTTTAATAACAATTTGTAGTAGTTTGCTATTTAAATGGATAACTGTCTGTAAAAGCTGTCATCTTCAAAGTCAAAATCAAGTCTCTTTCATTGATTCAATTCATCCTGGATTATTTTTCCCTTTTACTATGGTGTTCAATTTTTGACAAACAGGTTATTTTGTAAAATTGGCTTCTTGTTTTTCAGCAACAGTGTACCTCGGCGATAAGGTTGTGTTGCGGTTCTTTTCAGATACTTCTCCACTACCTTGAGTTATACAGTAAACCTCACATAAGTCACATCAATTGGGATCATATATTTAATTGGACTTATCCAAAGTATGAGTTATGTCAAACTTGCACAGAATATAGACTCTTGAATGGGACTTGGGCAGATATACAACTTAGGTTTTCCTGTATAAATATAATGTAATGGGAACTGGGTGCATTGTGTATCAAGCTCTCTCAGTTGTTAGCACCTCTCACCTACAAGTCAGAGGTGTGGGCTCAAGACCCATGTCAGGATTTTGAATTCATATGATCTCAGCTGACACTTCAATGGAGCACTGGGTCCACTGCATTATCCGAGGCGCTGTCATTCGAAAGAAGTGTTAAATCAAGGCCCTGCCTGCCTGTTCAGGTGGACGTTAAAGCATTATTTGAAAAGAGAAGGGACTTTTTCCAGGTGTCCTAACCAACAATCCTCCAAAATAAAACTGGTCATTCGTTTCATTGCTTTTGCTGTACACAAATTGGCTGCTGCATTCGCCCAGAAAACACTCATCGCCCAAAAACTTTACAGTATATCCTGTGAAGTATTTTCAGATCTCCTCTCCAAGTGAAAGGCGCTTTATCAAATGGAAAGTTTATTATTATTATACAAGTTCTATGGCTCTTCCTTTTGAAGGAGGGGAAGTGGAAGTTTCATATAAATAATAATCCTTACACTTGATAAAACAATTCACAGGTAACTGCTGTAAGAGTAAGTGATTGTGAATTTTGTACGGCAGCTAATTTGTGCACATCAATGTCTCACAAACAGCAATAAAGTGAATTTATTTGGGGGAATGTTAGCCAGGACACCAGAAAAGATTTACTTATTTTTCAGAATAATAGCAAAGGATCTTTTATCATCCACCTAAACAAACAGATGGGACATCGGTTTAATGTCTCATCTGAAGATGGCAGCTCAAAAATTCCAATGCTTACCAGCATCTTAACTTCCACTTCAGAGTTCTTTCTCGTGATTGTTCCCCTACTGGAAAGTGTGTGCACCACTACGCTCTGAACCTCTGGAACACCCTGTCTCAATCCTTCCACCTCATCCCCTCTTTATCTATCTTTAAATCCCACCTTGAGATCTACCTCTTCAACCGTGCCAAGAGTCACCTCTCCATCCCCCTTCTCCATTCCTTGGCATCCATCCCTGCCTCTGTATAGCAAGCTGAAACACTATCCTGCGTGAAGGGCACTATATGAATTCAAACTGTTATCGTTGCATGCTTTCCAGGGTAGCAGTAATACGATACCGTCAGGAGTTAACTAGCCATCGGTGTTCATTGGTTTAATCGCACAGTTGGACAGAAGCCACAAAACTCACCCCAGAAAGCATCAGCATCTCAGAAGCAAATTATGAGAATGTGAAAAAGCACTGCCACCAAAAGATACGGATAAAGAATCCACTGAAGGTTTTAAGAAAAACGTTATGTAGAATTACATGTTTTATGTAACATGTTACACAGAAAGACGTACAGACTGAAATAGACTATTCAGCCACAACTATGGACCGTGAAATTGCTTATACTTCACATGAGCCTCTGCCAATTCTAATCGTTATCCTCCCTCCATACCCCTCTATTCTTGACTCCCAAATAGATGCAATAGGTATTTTGGAAGTAAGGTTTGATGGGTAATATAGAAAAATCAGGGAATGGCATTTAAAGATAAAATGGTGGCACAGGCGTGAAGCGCCAAATGGCTGCTTCCTGTTGCTTGGAGAGGAAGTGGGCAGAATCGGTGAGGGAATTGGCAGAGGCTGCTGAGGTGTAGCTCAAGCCCAGATGGTCCCACCTCCCTCCATATTAGCTTGTGTTAAATAGGTGCTAGCTGGCCTAACACTGTCCTCTGGGGAGCTTATTAAACCCACTCCTACCACAGGTGCTCCAGACCAACCAGCCCACCCATGTTGGAAGTGGCAGCCATGGTACAGTAGCAGGAGTACTGCTCCCTTCAAAAATCATAGTTTTACAATAAAGAAAAACATTTTGAAAAATCTAAATTAAGAATTTTTTAAAAAGAAAGTTCAGGAATATCATACTTGTGAGATTTCCCTTAGTAGCAGCCCCTAATGGAAACTTGCCTGTCACCAGTTATTTTAGCTCAGGAAGTTGTTTTTAGCCAGCCGTGTTCTCGTATTTGGAGGGTGTTGCTGAGCTGAGTCAAACAGTTCACAACTTCAAACTCAACTGCAAATGAAATGATATTCAAGCAACTCAGAGCCTCCAAGCAGTGAATCCTTCTATAAGCCTCACCTCCAAACTGAGCAGATTTCTGCACACAAGGCATGATGCAAACACAAGTGTGGAGAATCCAAACCCAGCACAGGGCCTGATAAACCATTGTTTAACATTCAATGAGTCCATCACCAATATGTACAAGGAAAAGTCGCAACTGTAAGGGGTGTCTTTGCTTTTTAAAAAGCCTCTTGATCCACTTGTACCTCTGAACAACACAGTTAAAAGAAAACACAGCAATTCAAATCTAACTAGATGTTATTATAGGAGCCTGTTGGTCAGTTATTGTCTTCCAGAAACTCTGAAAATAGAAAAGGTTTGACTATAAAGTAGTCAATGTGTACATTAGAGAAAGGACCACACATTAGAGTTTTGTGTTCAGACTCTGGATTTGTAGGTTAACAAGAACATTGAAACCTCTTGTCTGGCTGTATTGGATTGGGCTATACCACAGCTCAGTAAGATCATGTAAATTACAAAAAATCTTCCTACCTCTGTGACTTGCTAACCTCATATCAACCTGGCCCCTCCATCCACTCAGCAGACTTGGAGCAGCCTGCTCCAAGTCCCCCGACCGGCCCGGCCCACCATCAGCAGTCGAGCTTTCAGCCTCTCTGCCTCCACCCTTCGGAACTTCATACCATATTTTCTTCAACTCGCTCCCTCCCTTGCCTCCTTCAAGGCACGTCTCAAGACCTCCTCTTCGACCACACCTTTGGTCGCCCTCTTCCTCTACCTGCCCTTCACCACCACTGATCCCTACCGCCTGCTTGGGTCCAAGTTCCTGACTGTCCAGCAACTTGGGACGTCCTCCCGACGTGTAAAGCGTTATACAAATGTAATTTGCTGTTGTTGTTGCTTCAGTAGCAGCTTATGGAAATGCATTCACTATTCTATGTGGGAAAACATCGATGAGGATTCTGATAAAGTTTCTGCTGGTGTCACATACATCTGTGGACCCTATTGAGGCACATTGCAGAAGCCCAGGAAGAGACAACCACAACAACAACTTGCATTATATAACTCTCTTCACACAGGTAGCTTGTCAGATCACTTGAAGACCATCTCATTTGGGGACTCTCCTTGTGTGAGACCACTTCACTTGAGGGAATCTTCCAAAAATAGCAGAAAAAAATACATTTCTTAAAAATTAAAACATAGATTATTCAGGACATTCA